TGAGGGTCTAGTCCAAAGCGGATAATATCTTACCAGTATAGAGACCTGTGTGTATGTGTGTGGTTAACCTCCCTACAAATTCCTCAGACAATGAGTTCATACATTGTGCTCATAAATCCATATAATAAGAAGTTGTTTATATTGACCGGAAAGATACAAACACCAAATGAGATTTGAGTCCAACCACATAAGAGATTGACACCACTTTCTACTCAAAACTTTAAGACAATGAGTTAATAGGTTTTTCATCTTTATATAGTGTTATACTCTCTCATTTCTATCTAATGTGAAACTTAGACTCACACTTGAATTTTCAACCGTATAATCTTATTTTGTACGAAGACTTATCAAATCAACATAACCATGGCAATATGAATAATAGGTAGTGTGGTGGAATGGGAAAAAATATGTCACATAACATAAAAGAAATAATACCATTTTGCTTGGAGAGGGCACAAGCACCAAATACCAAAATCTATAATGAAGTCTTTCCTTTGGGTTACAGCTACACCTAAGTGCGGTTGGATTGCAGAGACTGGATGCTACAATTCAGGGATTCCTTCCACCTTTTTCATTAAATAACACATACATGAATTGATTACTTTCTGATTTTATTTATCCCTTTTAAAAGGGAAAGGAAAAAAATTCATACCTTTAGGCTTCGCATCACTTTCTTTCCACTTCAAATGATATTTCAGCTAGCTTTATCAGAACCACTGATAGTAGTTGTCCTACTTTTTTCTGAGCAAAATGGCAAATTATTATCGTGAATACTGTCACGAGATCTTTGTTTGTTCGGAATTCCTCTGCTTGAAACCAACTTTAGCAGTATTGGAATATTGGAATGATTTGCAGTGCAGAATTATTCTCTTTGAAAACCTTCATCATAGTTTAATCATCACTGCATTGAAAGAAATCTTGCATCCTTTCACCGTGAAAATTTAGAAGGTCTGGTGATGGGAATGCAGCGTTGACAATTTGATTTATTTCCCACATTTGAATGTTATATCAGGTAATAGTTTAATTGAGTGTCAACAACGGTATTAGATAACTCCTTGTTAAAAAAATAAAATACTAAAACAAATATTCTACAAAATAATATACGTTAATTTCACTTTCCTTGGAGAACTTTAAGGAAATGTACCCATAAAATTGGTTTGGGTGAATGACATCTATACGTAAAATTTCCATTACTTCTCTCTACTTGCTTATTTTGAAAAAATTTTATACAATGAAGAAAAAGCTCTTGATGGAAATTTTTGTGTGCAACCTGAATTGAAGTCTGAACAAAAAAGGTATGCTCAATTAAAGACTCCTAAGTTTTTTACTATCTACGAAGCATTGGTCTTTTTTTTAGTTTTGGATTGTCTAATTAATATATAATTCAAAATAAAAATATATATTTTAGATTGCAAAATACGGTATTTTTTTAATAAATATACACAATAAAAAGAAGATGAAGAGTAAGGAAAAAAAGGTGGGGAACTAGAATAGGAAAAAGAAGATGAAAATTGAAACAGAGGCCCCGATGTAAGAAGAATACGATGAAGAATGAGGGAGAAGGATGCAAATAAATCAATTAGAAAACTATATGAAGATGTAAGTTGGAAGAAGCTACCCTTTCTAAGAAGCAATTGCATTCGACTGACAATGGCACAAGTCAACTAATAGGCTGAAGATCGTGTGATTCTATTTGCACTTAGCGCATTACTATTTACACAACTCTATTTTCATTCTTTCATGCTGCTTACAGCTTTTATATCTCTTTAAAAAGAATATCTTTCACAGAATTTAATTAATGAAAAATTAATAATATAATAAGTAGTTTTTGTAATGTAAACAAAAAAAAAAATACATTTCCGTTATGTAATATGTGAAATACACAATAGATATTAATTTTCCCGAAGATAATTTTCCAGATTCTTTTAAAAAAATGTATGATATGGATTTAATATCACTAATTTAAAAAAAAAGTTCTTCCGGCAGGGGCCTCTTAGAATTATTGTTACCTTGTTGATTACAGCCCACTTAACTGGAGTAAAAGTATTCGTTTAGGGTTAATCGTGCTAAGTGTTTATCCACAATTCAAGGGTGAAAGCACCATTATCATACTTTCTTAACATCCTTCATCACTTCTCTCCATTAATAACAACAGTTATTCTCATAACTGGGCCAAGCCAAGAAATTGAAGCAGAAGAGGAAAATAACTCAGTAAAAGATGCAACATATGAAGAAGAAGAAGAAAAAGAAAGACCCGGAACCGAGGCTGCATCAGAGGTTCAAGCGATACCTAAATGCTCATGAGATAAGCAATGTTCTACATTCAAGGATGGCTTAAAGCCAAAATAGTTCTATTTCCATGCAACTAGCACAAATATAGGATTGTAGCAACAGCTTTACCAACAAAAACAAATCGTGATAACAATATCCCTATTATTGCTATTAACAATAGAAAAACATGCTATCAATCTACAAGTGCGATGATCATGATAGACTAGCGAAGATCGGTCAAATGATCAAAACACTAGATTCTGTAAGATACCAAAAAAAAATTCATCCTTTCCCATGGAAGCAGAATTTAAGGTAATGTCGTTGTCAGATAATATTAATTTCCTCAAGAAATGAAAAAAAGAATAGTAAAGGTACGGAATATAATATTAAAAAAGTTTGAGATAGTTCAAGAAGTCATTTAGCATTTAGATCAAACAACTCAGCCACCTTAAATATCACTCATTGCATTGGGATACTGTTACACATGCCCATGGAAAGAGATGCTCTTATTCTTTGCGCGGAGACAGACAAACTAACAAGGTTTTCAATTCACACTCAGGACTTCGATTTCAAATTCCAGAACAGAGTTGGGCTGTATTCCCCAAGCAGGAAAGCCACCAGCACCATAAGCATAATCAGGAGTGCACTGCAAGATCATCAACAATGTGAAAAAAATGCTCTATAAAATTAAATAACCCTCCACTCCCAAAAGAAGCAACAAACAAACAGCAAGGAATTAATAAAAGTACATCAGCGCCAACAAATGGTAAGATACAGCTAATTTGAATTGACACCAAACACTCAGTTGGATGTAATATTGGGAAAAAAATCGACTAATGCAGATAAAAGCAAAGCATGTATATGTAGAGGAGAAAAGATGAAGGATATTCCTAAAAGTGAGAATGCTAGTTACACAAAAGATTCGAGAAGCTATGAGATTTTTCAAGCGGGAACATGTAAGAATAAGGAGTTGCTAGCATTACCCGGAGACGAGCAACTTCACCAATTTGCATGCCAATCACACCTTCATCCCATCCTACAGACACAGATAGTTGAAAAAAAAAAAAGGATATTACAATGAATTTACATTAGAAAACAAAAAATAGGAAGTATTATAGAAATAATGAATAATCAGTAAGTGAAAACGGTATACCTTTGATGACAGAGCCTTGGCCGATTTTAAAGGAGAAAGGGGTTTGGCCGGGATCCTTTGTGCTGCAAGAAAAAGAGTGATGAATGAGTATATTGAAAAGCAAGGAAGACGTAAATGAAATGGTAATCAGGTAACCTCCAAAATTTCTGAGTGAGGTCGCCGTTCTTCCCTGCACACAGAATCGACAACGGTAAGCACATGAAAGAAGGGTGAGATCTAAGAACGCTGGGAAAAGAGAGAGATTTAGGGTTTAGAAAGGGAAAGGGAGAGAGAGAGAAACGAACCGAAACCAGTGCAGTGAACGGTGACTTGTTGACCAGGAAGTGGCTTGGGACCGGTGCCAGGCCTCAACAATTGCTTCTCCACTCCCATTTTCTTCTCTGATTCCTTTTCTTTTCTCTGTTTCTTCTTCTTCTTCTTCCTTCTTCTCTTCACTCCTCTGTTCTGTCTCCTCTTCCGTGTTCTTCTTTTATACTCCTTCCTTCGCGAGATCTCTACTATGATATTTATTTATTAGTTATAACAATATACAACTATCTCAATTTTAGCAAATATTTCATATTTTTAAAATTAAATTATTTTTATTTAATAACTAGTTTACTTATAAAAATATAAACTACTCAATGAATAATTAAATATATTTCAGTTACTCTAAAATGGAATTATGATTCTTTTTATACCAACATTGATTTAAATAAAAAGACACGCATATCACATATAATATATAATAATAAATAAAACAAAATTAAATATAATAAATAAGTATATAATGTGAGGGATAATAATAATAATAAATTACAAAGCTCCTAGCTAGTTAAAAAAAATTCATAACTTATTATTACTAAAGTTTTCTGCTTTAAAGTATTTACCAAATGAAAAATTAGTAGCTGATCTTTTGTCTCAGTAAACAAACTCTATACGTTACTCAAGATATTTATGAAAAATAAATAAAGGTGAAACTGTTTCAAAGAGAATCAACAATTAAGGTGTAATTAATTAAGCATTTTGAAAATTTTGCTAAATGTTTGGATAAAAGCATACACAGAAACAATATTTCATTATATATTATTATAAATATAAATACACTAAGATTAAATTAAATTTTTAAATTTCATAGTTATTTTATCGTTACAAGAATATAACAAAATATTTTTAATCTATATAATCAAAATGGTGCATACAAAATATTTTTAATCTATATTATCCAAAAACCAACTTTAATAATCTTCCTAACCCAATAATTTTTCATTATTTTGGGGAAAAACAGTGGAAAACCGCTTGTCGGTCTCATGGGTGAAAACCGCTGGTCGGTTTAATGGGTGAAAACCGCTTCCAGGTGTCTCTGTCTCTGAGTTTATCTCCTTGCTGGTTTATTTGCTTTGTTGGTATCTCTCCTCTTTGTAGCAACAACGTAACTGCGTCTTCTATCGTAAGAGCTTAAAAAAAATTATAGAAAATTTAGATTCATTAATAATGATAGCTCCTAAGTCATCAAATAATATATAAGTTACTAACTTAATTTAGGTAGAATATTTTATATCTTACAGAATCTTAGTAGTGATGTGTATGGTTTTAATTAATTTCTATTACTCTATGTAACCATTTATAAATTAGTAGTTTAATAGTTATGTGATCAAATACATGTTATGCATTTTTTTTGTTATATAGAGAACACACAACTTTATGGTTTGATTTTAAAATTTGAACTTTAATTAAACAAAATATACTCATTTTTTAAACTGAAAAACAATATCATGTTGTTTACTTTTCATATATTTATTTAGCTAAAGGAATCGAAAAACTAACAATGTAAAACAATTAACTCAAATTCGATGAACTTTAAAGTCAGAATTCTACACATCTCTCGGTTACAAGTATTAAATTTTAAAGGACGAACTTAATATAAAAATAAATCAGAGAAAAGTTAAGATTAACCGAGAAAAAATATTGAAAAATATGAGAAATAAAAAAAAAAACTTTAAGTTTTAATTGCTATTAGTGTATACTTTTCAATGTCGACAAATTGCTATTTAACATGGTACATAAGCATAAATATTAACTTTAATAGTCTAACATAAAATTGATTAAATTTGTTCTTAGAAAGAAACTTTTCAATAATCATGTTAATTTGAAGGACTAAATTAACATTTTGTGCGTGTTACGTATAATATGAGATTAATCAAATAATTTCATACATGAAGTGGCTGTAGTTTAGTGGTAAGAATTCCACGTTGTGGCCGTGGAGACCTGGGCTCGAATCCCAGCAGCCACATCACATTTTTGTTTTGCGCGTTAAATCGTTGATATAAACGACGGCGTTTAGAATGTGGACAAAAAGTCTAGGTCAACGCACACACCCTTGCTTCTTAAAGAGTCGGGGGCTGTGCGTGTTCCTCACCGTATTGCGATCCATCAAACAGTCTCATTCAACCCCTCACAAAAGGTCGATTTCTTATTTATTTAATTATTTAAATTTCTCTATTTGCCGTGTTCGCAGATAATATGACTGAGATTTCAATTCCTTTACGTTGATTACTGTGAAGCAATTCATTTGATGTGTTTCTTAATTATTTGATTTTATTTTATTTTTGTCTTGTCCAGATCTAGAACGTAAGAGATATGATTGATGATGAAGCCTTGGGAGTCATTGCCAATTTTCTCGGCATCTTGATTTTTGCTTTGGTTATAGCTTATCACTTTGTCACAGCAGACCCCAAATATGAAGCCAGCTAAGATATATACTTTGAATTTTATCTCTGATATGTATTCAGTTTTGCTGATTGAAAGGTTCTATGTATGACTTTTTGATGAAACTAGAATTTGATTGAGGCTTATTATACCGGCTGAATCTTAATACTTTCGAGTCGAATGTTAACCATGTTTTTGTATATCTAGATTAGCTATGGATGCTTAATGGTACAATGCGCACGGAATTGTTTGAATTAACTAATTGAGAATGTGAATTGTTGATTGACCCTTATTAAATATTTCCCTTGTACACCAAAATTGTAGAGGAAAGATATGTACTTTAATGCAACAGAACAGACATTTTATTAGAAAGCAAATGGGAAAAATGTTATTTTACGATGCTCCATTACATGGGGCTACTTGGCATAGTTCACTCAATCAATGTACAGCAAACTAAGTAACTAAACATGGTGGGAATTGAAAGCTAGTGCTGCGGTGTGAACCTTTGTTTTACTGCAGAATTGCACATAAGCAATATTAGCTACGCTATATGTATCTGCTCTGGTGCATGTATACGTTGTAGCAAATTAATAATGGAACTACCTAATGTAGGATTGGTAATTGTGGGAGGAACTGGTGGAGAAGGGTGGAAGTGTGGGAATGAAGGGTGAAGGCAACCTATACTCAGGCCAGTCAGCTATTGGAGGGAATGAAGATAAATCACGCGGACAGGAGAATTCCCAATGTTGGGCAATGTTGATGCCACAAAATTTCTTGGGGTTAAATTGGTATGGAGATATTTCTAAGGATTGTTTGAGAATGTCTGAGTTGTTTGTGGGGAGGGGAGGGACTTCTTGTTAGAGAGCGAGTAGTAGTAAAAGGTTCTATATTGGATAGAATGTACAAATTGTTCAACATGCATAGCTTATAGCATTTGAAGACTTCAGTTTTCAAGAAGTTGAATGTAACTTTGCAGAAACATCTTTAAACTCAATGTAGTTCGGAGGATGCAGAATGCTTTCCAGAACATAGGTTTATAGTAGTTTGCTTCCGTGGTGGAGATGTGAATTTTCGTATCTAATAATTGGAAGTCAATAGCTTAAGCCTCTGCATTTTTTCAAGAGAATTGGGGTGATTTCTTTAGTTTTGTGTTTTTAAATTTTGGGTTGGATGAAGTGCAGATAGATTTACCTGTGCGATTTTTCTTATAGCATATTTATGAAAAAAAAAAAATCGGGTTCTTCCCTATAGATGGACATCGTGCATTTTATTGGTGTTCTGTCTTTCATTTAGCTATTTAGTTTCCGTGGCGAGAGTGGAGGAATAGTTTGAGAGTTTGAGTATCAGGAGAAGAAAACGATGGATATTTATTTCCTATTTTTGTCTTCAATATTAGAAGAGTTTAAAGAAGAGAACAGTGATTTTATTATATCTCATGCATTGTATGAATAACATCTTGATATGTTACTTTATTTCTCATGTCCTTCATTATGCTTAATCATAAGAATATATCGGTGTATTATTTGTATTTTTACCTTTGTCCATCAACTAAATAATGTGATGTTTTTCTTTCTTTCTTCTCTATTGAAATACTTAGTAATAATATAAATGCTGTTAGTTAGACATCTAATTAGGATGTTGGAAGAGTTTAAATTAAAGGATAAGACATTATAATTTGTATAGCTGTAATCATTCGCAATCTGTAATCGATAATACAAGAAAAAGTAGAAACAATAGCGATAACTCACATAAACTGAAAAGAAATACAGTTTTTCACACCATACGACAAAAGTAAAAGGAAAACACCACACAAGGCTCTCACACAAAAGGAATCAGGCCATATCTATAGGAAGCATGCAACTTGGCACTGCTACGAATCAGACTGAGACGGTAGCTTGCCCAGGATGAAGAAAAGAAAGGTAGTTTAAGGGGTGGAGGTGGAAGGTGGTGGGGAGAGGAATGGGATGGAGGGCATAGTAGTTGGAATTGTGAATGCTGGGATTGAGGGCAATGGAGGAACGTTGAGCTGTGGAATTGTTGGAATGTTAGGGATGTTGGTAGGAAGTGGAGGCAAAGTGGTAGGCAAAGATGGGATAGTGGGCAGTGGTGGAACATTACCCTGAGGAAGGGCTGGAATTGAAGGCATAGTTGGCAATGTTGGCAATGTTGGCAATGTTGGTGCACTTGTCTGCATAAGATGGCGAGCTGCTAGGCTCATGCTCATCATGCCTGAGAAGGTCAGAGCAAGAAGAAAAACTGAGATGAATGATTTGGTGGAGGCCATAGTATTCTGAAGTGCAATAATGAAGAGATATTGCTATGTAAGAAAATGGTATGTATTTTGTTTGAGATTGTATGAAAGGCTGAAGGATATATATAGGGCTTGCTATGGTTTCAGCTGAACTTTGTTTGGAGAAGAAAATAGAGCCTAAGAATGCTTTTGTTTGTTCACCTTCCTCTTTTATTTGAATAGATAATAATTATATTATGTTGGACTGATAAGGTGGTTGGGTGATATTAAGTTATAGCTCCCAATATGTCAAACGTAGGATGACCAACTCATACGTATTTAGGGGTTGGAAAAGGGGAAATAGCAGAGTTGAATTGAGTTGAGTTGGCTCATCTAACACAGTTCATTTCAGCTGCCAAACGTCACCTACATCTCACACACTCACGCTTTAGACATTCCGAGTCACACTACCATTTTTAGGCTTTGACCAAGTCCATATCACCACCATGTAAAAGGACTTTATTTTCATAATTTTTTAAAACAACCTTTTCCACTATTTTCATTTTTATATCACTGAATACTGATGCAAAGTTTCAATTTAAACTTACATCTTCTCACAAAATAAAACGAAAAATTCATATTGCATTCTCTTATTTAACTCTTAANCTTTTCTCTGTTTCTTCTTCTTCTTCTTCCTTCTTCTCTTCACTCCTCTGTTCTGTCTCCTCTTCCGTGTTCTTCTTTTATACTCCTTCCTTCGCGAGATCTCTACTATGATATTTATTTATTAGTTATAACAATATACAACTATCTCAATTTTAGCAAATATTTCATATTTTTAAAATTAAATTATTTTTATTTAATAACTAGTTTACTTATAAAAATATAAACTACTCAATGAATAATTAAATATATTTCAGTTACTCTAAAATGGAATTATGATTCTTTTTATACCAACATTGATTTAAATAAAAAGACACGCATATCACATATAATATATAATAATAAATAAAACAAAATTAAATATAATAAATAAGTATATAATGTGAGGGATAATAATAATAATAATAAATTACAAAGCTCCTAGCTAGTTAAAAAAAATTCATAACTTATTATTACTAAAGTTTTCTGCTTTAAAGTATTTACCAAATGAAAAATTAGTAGCTGATCTTTTGTCTAAGTAAACAAACTCTATACGTTACTCAAGATATTTATGAAAAATAAATAAAGGTGAAACTGTTTCAAAGAGAATCAACAATTAAGGTGTAATTAATTAAGCATTTTGAAAATTTTGCTAAATGTTTGGATAAAAGCATACACAGAAACAATATTTCATTATATATTATTATAAATATAAATACACTAAGATTAAATTAAATTTTTAAATTTCATAGTTATTTTATCGTTACAAGAATATAACAAAATATTTTTAATCTATATAATCAAAATGGTGCATACAAAATATTTTTAATCTATATTATCCAAAAACCAACTTTAATAATCTTCCTAACCCAATAATTTTTCATTATTTTGGGGAAAAACAGTGGAAAACCGCTTGTCGGTCTCATGGGTGAAAACCGCTGGTCGGTTTAATGGGTGAAAACCGCTTCCAGGTGTCTCTGTCTCTGAGTTTATCTCCTTGCTGGTTTATTTGCTTTGTTGGTATCTCTCCTCTTTGTAGCAACAACGTAACTGCGTCTTCTATCGTAAGAGCTTAAAAAAAATTATAGAAAATTTAGATTCATTAATAATGATAGCTCCTAAGTCATCAAATAATATATAAGTTACTAACTTAATTTAGGTAGAATATTTTATATCTTACAGAATCTTAGTAGTGATGTGTATGGTTTTAATTAATTTCTATTACTCTATGTAACCATTTATAAATTAGTAGTTTAATAGTTATGTGATCAAATACATGTTATGCATTTTTTTTGTTATATAGAGAACACACAACTTTATGGTTTGATTTTAAAATTTGAACTTTAATTAAACAAAATATACTCATTTTTTAAACTGAAAAACAATATCATGTTGTTTACTTTTCATATATTTATTTAGCTAAAGGAATCGAAAAACTAACAATGTAAAACAATTAACTCAAATTCGATGAACTTTAAAGTCAGAATTCTACACATCTCTCGGTTACAAGTATTAAATTTTAAAGGACGAACTTAATATAAAAATAAATCAGAGAAAAGTTAAGATTAACCGAGAAAAAATATTGAAAAATATGAGAAATAAAAAAAAAAACTTTAAGTTTTAATTGCTATTAGTGTATACTTTTCAATGTCGACAAATTGCTATTTAACATGGTACATAAGCATAAATATTAACTTTAATAGTCTAACATAAAATTGATTAAATTTGTTCTTAGAAAGAAACTTTT